TCAAATTAAAATAAATAAATAAATAAATAAATAAATAAATAAAGTTAAATAAAATAATTCTTTTAAAAAAAGAAGTTTATGACTTATCAAAGAGAGTTGGATTACCCTGGTATTGTCATGAGGTGCACTCGCCATCCCCACCCCCAGGCCATCACCCCAGGGAGTGATTTCTCACTTTCTCTGTCTCTGTCTCTCTGGTGACCACATGTGCCCTATAGCAAAAATCTCTCTTATGAAAAAAAAAAGTTCATGGAGAATAAGTGTTATGAAAAACTATGCATGGATCTCAATTTTTTTGTGCACCAAAATAAATATATACTTTAATTTCATTTTCCATAGACTTTTCGAAGTCCCCTTGCAAGTCCATCAACGATGTTGAGATAAATTTATAGATGCAACATTAGATTTTTCCATGAGGGTGGGAAGGCAAAAATAATCATCCCTTCAAAAGACAAAGCTAATATGCATGGACAAGAGTTATTTGTATTGTCTAATAAAGTTTAAAATACATTTTGCTGTAGGGCATATGTGCTCATTAGAGAGTTAGAGAAAGAGAGAGAGAGCGAGAGAGAAGACATATATAGAGAGGGAAAGTGAAAAACCACTTCACTGGGTATGACCATGCCACAATCCCTTCTCCTCCATTCTCTTCTTAGGATTTTGGGCATATATACACACATGCCCAGCATGTTTTTCAAGTCACTGGGTCTGGGACTTGAACTGCTTAATCAGTCATGTGGATCCTGGAGCCAGCAACTTGAGAATCATGCCAGGCACGTATGCATGCATGCCTAAAATCCTGAGAGGAGACTAGAGGAGAAGGGATTGTGGCATGGCCATTCCTGGCAAAGATGATGTCTCAGTTTCTCTCTTTCTCTCTCGCTCTCTCTCTGGCAAGTGCACATGCACTATAGCAAAATAAATAAATAAATAAACCCAAATAAATAAAATAAAAAGAAAGATAGAAAAGCATGGTTTTGCAAGAGACAGTAGCGAGGTTTCAGACATTTCAATGAAGGTACTACTTCGGGTGATGCCTGTGGGCCTTTCTCATTTGCTGAGGGAGGACAGCATCTGTTCCTATCTGTAAATCCCTCTAGAATTTACGAAGAGTTTTTTCAGTCACATTACCTCAGAGGTGATATTTGGTTTTTTGTTATTGTTGTTTTTGTTTTGTTTTGTTTTGTTTTGGAGATGTTTAAACCCCGGTCGACTCTATGGGAGTCCAGAGACATAGCCATTACTCTAACTGATGGTCCTGATATTTGTTATTTTTTCTTTTTTTAAAAAAAAATTATTTTATTTAATGATTTATTTATTTATTTATGTGTTTTAATTTGACCAGAGAGAGGGAAAGTGAGAAAGCAAGCCACCATGTCCAGGACTCGAGCCACAGTTGGCCATGTGGGAGTCCAGCATCCTACCTGCTGGCCCCTCTTTTGTCTTTTATTATGAAAACGAATGTAATGAAACCAGTTCCTCCCAGGCCAACATGGGAATACAGGGGAGGAGGCGTTTGAGGAGATGCAGGGAGGTGAGTCCTGTTTTTGACTTGAGTGTCTTCTCGTTCCACCCAGGGAAGCCCTGCGCTGGGCTCTCTTTGGCATGCAGGCCACAGGTCACGTGCTGCTCGGCACCTCCTGTTACATGCAGCAGCTCCTCGATGCCACAGAGGGACAGCAGCCCCCCAAGGGCAAGGCCTCATCTCTCATCCCAACCTGTCTGAAGATACTGCAATGAAGACCCATGTCCCTGGAGGTCTTCCCCTGCCAAGAACTAGATGGAGACCCCCATGCTCAGCTGATAGTGCCCACAAGCCTGCAGTCATAATGCTTCTTACCTCCCACACCTCCTCCACTGGGATCATAAAGGAAGCAGGAGGAAGGGCCAGAAAGCTGGAGTGGGCTGGCTAAAGGAGAACTTCGGGTGCCTGGCTTAGCCTGGCCCATCTCCTTCCTGCTTGACATCGCTCAGCTGACGAACACGGGTCTCCAGCCGGCTATGGCGTGCAGTCCGCCCCCAGCAATACCTCTTCACATGCTACACTCTCACCACACTCCTGCCTCCTGGCCACCTCCATCCTTGACAACTGTCAAGCCCACTAATGTATGATATTAGTCTGCAATAAATTATTTATGCTGATACATCTTCGCCTGTGCTCCTTGGGGGGAGGAGGTTGGTTGGGCTCTACCCAGAAGGTTGGGAAGGGATAAGGGAAAAGAAGAATCCCTTGTCAAACAATTCTCCATAATGTGGAGTTACAGAAAATGGTGTTTTGTTTTTGTTTTTGTTTTCCTACAAAACATAAAAATACAGTTGCTTTTGGAATTAAAGTCTGCTGAAGAGTGGTTCCATGGTACCGTGGTAACATATTGCCCAGACTACGCTGGATCTATATGGAAGATCTCGGGTTCGGTTCTCTGGTGGACACCCGTGACCCTGGCTGGCATGGAAGGCTGGGGGTGGATCGTGGTGTGGAACCTTGTTGAGAACTGTCTCTCCCTCTCTATCATACCTTCATGGAATAAACTTTAAACTCTGCTGAATTTAAGACCACGTAGTCAATATAATAAGTGACAATTTCCAATTAAATTTGCCTATCAGAGATCTTTGATTGGGAACACTAATTTCTCAGTGTCACTTTTTTTTTTTTTTTTTAAGAATTATTTTATCGGGACCAGCAAGTTCCGTGGTGGTTAAGGGTGCTGGACACTCCCACATGGCCAATCATAGTTGGAGTCCCGGACCTGGTGACTTGCTTTCTCACTTTCCTTCTCTCTGTGTGTGTGTCTCTCTCTGGGAAAATTAAAATAAATGAATGAATAAAATTCAATAAGTAATTGAATTATTTTATTGAACTTTATTTTATTTATTTATTCATCATTTATTTTAATTTGATCAGAGAGGGACACAGAGAGAGAGGGTGGGAAAGTGAGAAAGCAAGCCACCAGGCCAGGTCTGGGACTCAAACCACGGTCGGCCATGGAGGAGTCCAGCAGCCTTAACCACCACACCACCTGCTGGCCCCCTCAGTATCACATTTTATAACGACCTTTGAAGCGCTGAGGTAGGAAAGTACTAATCACACTGTAGGGTGATTCTCCATTGATATCTCCCTTAGCTGACCAGACAATTTCCGTTTCACGTCTAGCGCTTTCCACCTTCAAGATTTCAAAGTGAGCTACTGGCCCCAAAGACTATTTATTTGCTTCTCATTAGAGAGCTGATGTTTTTCAAGATTGGGCAACTCAAGACAAACACAAAAGTCTGGTTGGAGGTGAGTATGTTTCATTTAGTTTGTGTCTCAAAGATGAAAAGATTATATCACTTGGGGGCCAGTAAAAACAGTCCTCTGTGGGGCCAGCAGTTGGTGTGGTGGATAAGGCACTGGACTCCTACAGGGCTGACTGTGGTTCAAGTCCTGGACCTGGCAGCTTGAGAACCACACCAGTCATGTGCATGCGTAGCCAAATTCCCGAGATGGGTGGTGTGGCCATCTCCCCAACAGGCGATTTCTCTCTCTCTCTCTCTGTGGCAAGCTTCCATGCCTTATGGCAAAAACCTAAAAACAAACAAACAAAAACATTCTCTGCAAGGCTGAGCCACATGGGAAGGTTCCGGGTTCACACCTGGAGACCTTCCTGAGGATGCTGGGCATGCAGGTGCCCATGATCCAGAACTGGCTAACGGCTAGGGGTGAATTGTGGCATCAAGACCCTATTGTGGATGTCATCTCTCGCACTCATGAAAAAAATGATTAAGGGGCTGGTAGGTAGCGTGGTGGTTAAGAGCACTGGATTCCCACATGGCCGACCGTGGTTCAAGTCCCAGACCCAGTGGCTTAAACTCACTCCGGGTGCATGTGCATCCATGCCCAAGATCTGGAGAGGAGAATGGAGGAGTAGGGCTTGTGGCGTGGCCAGCCCCCCAAAAAATCGCTTTCTGTCTTTCTGTCTCTTTCTTTCTGGGGAGTGCACCCGGCCTATAGCAAAAATTTCTCCAAAAAAAAAAAAAAAAGTTGATTGTTTAGGGACCAGCAGGTGGCGTGGTGGTTAAGGTGATAGATTCCTACATGGCCAACCAACGGTTCAAGTCTCAAACCAGGCGGCTTGCTCTTTCACTTTCCTTCTTTCTCTCTTTCCTCTCTCGTCAAATTTAAAAATAATAATAACAAATACATTTTAAAAACTTTTAAATTGATTGTTTACATCTTTTATTTATTTATTTTAAAGAGAGGGGTTTGCTATATTGCCCAGGCTGGCCTTGAACTTAAAATTCTCCTGCCTCTGCCTCCTGAACAGCTGGGACTGGGAGCTTATACCACTGTGCCTGGCTGAATTTTTTAAATGAGGTTTCTATTGGCCCAGTCACCATGACACAGTCAGTAACCTACTAAATCAGGGTGCTGGAAGCCACATGGCTAACCAAGAGTCTGGGTCTCCAGCCCAGTAGGCCTGAAATATGCTGGGAACTTACCGAAAATCCTGACAGCCAGCGGTCTGGAGGAAGGGGACTCTGTCACGCATGCCTGACTTCCTCTCTTTCTCACATGTACATGCACGTGCTGTCTACCATGAATAAAAAAATAAACTTAAAACAATTAAATCTTGGGAGCCAGCAGGTGGCATGGTGGTTAAGGGTGCTGGACTCCCGCATGGCTGACCATGGTTTGAGTCCCTGGCCCGGCAGCTTGTTTTCTCACTTTCCCTATCTTTCTCTCTTTGGTCAAATTTTAAAATAATAATAATAATAGATAAAATAAAATAATTCTCAAAAACAAACAAAAAACACCATGGCACAAGAATGCCTGATCTGTTTCTAGCCCCGGCCTGATATAGAGTTAGCATTCAAAACGTACTGAATGACAACGGAGATCTCATTTATTTCCCCTGTAGATCTCACCACAGGACAATTGTTTCCCTGTTTTGAGATTTGTTTTGCTTTGGCCAACAATGCTGTCGTGACCTCCTTTCTGCCTTTGGGCTGTTTTCCCTCTTGTTTTATGCACCAGGCTGTCTTTCTTCTGAAGCCGGTTTACTGCACCAAAACCTGTGGATTGCCCCCCTCCCCCTTATTTGCCTTACAAAATTATGCACACTGGTGGTTTTTAGAGTTAGAAGCCCCCCAAAAAATCAGAACGGTAATTAGAAAAGCTCGGTCTTTTGTTCTGGATTTGTCTTAACCCAAGTCCTCTGATTCCCAAGTCCTCTGGGTCTGGGGCCTCAGTTTCCCCAAAAAGCACAGACGCCAACTCACGCCTCTCCTTCCAGGACGAAGGCAAAGCTCCGCCCTCTCCCGCGCTGAGCGGATTGTCAATCCTGTCCGGATTGACAGTCACTCTGGCCAATCAGCGCGCCATAGGTGACGCGGGGGCGGCCCTTCTGGACACACATGCGCACTGCGCTCGCTCAGGACACGGGT